GCATATTAAAATGGGGCAGATATGGGGAGGTGGAGACTCTTTGACAACATTCTATGTTTTAAATTGAACACTATAAGAGTTAATAAATATTAACACCTTAAAAACAACACTCACTGCACACTGAAAAGTGTTAAAGGTAACACTGAATGGTGTGGTCACATATAGACACCATGCAGTGTTAATTTAACACTGGCACATTTGCTGTGTAATATCAAATAACCTTTATTCGAATTGCTTCTCCAAATAGCAACAATTGCTTAAAGCACTGCTCACATGAACGTGCAAACCCCCCCCACAGAAATAGTAATGTTGAGGTTATAATGTAACTAATGTCAAACATTAAACACTGTCATTATTATTGAATTAATAGTAACTCACTTATAGGACAAAGTCATGGTAAAGTTACATTATTTTGTGTTTCACAGCTGTTTACCAGTTTATTAACTGTGATTAATGTTCAAAGCTACTGAAACGTATTTTATAAAGTAAGGTGTGAGGCACAGAAGAAATGTTGATGGAGGATAAAAGTATTTTGTATTAGATAAACAAAATGAACAATTTAAATGTAAATGTCTATATTACAACTCTTTTGCCAAGTCAAAACTTTACCCCACAGATATATAAATTACATACACCTGAGCAGCACTACTTCCCAATAAAACCCTTCCACTCTACCATGGCTTTTTATATGAGCCTCTGGCATCTCACTCATGTATACTGTCCTGTAACACTTCAGGCTGAATGACAGACAGAAGGGCTGCCACACACTTTGGATAGGTGAGATGCAGGGTGTAGTAGTGTGCCATCAGATACAGCAAACCTTGACTGAGGTATTCTTTGGCAAATGTGGTGAAGGGAGTGGTTCCAATTGCCACAAGACGGCAGAATCCATCGAAAAGCAAAACAGGGCTGAAGAGAGATCTCCTCTGGAGGTACACGGCTGTATCTTCTGTTGGCTAAAGAAAAAAGGAGAAAATGGTCAGGGTAGTACAGATAAACTGAAACTACTTGTTGTGACCAGGAAGCCAGGCAGGGAAGATGGAGCTGGGGGTCAGGAAGTCGACCAGCAACAGAGGTGGAAATTTCAGGTCCAGGAAGTACAAATCCAGACCGTGATTTAGCTTCAACCAACCAGTTATGCATAAAGAGTCACAGTTACACACAGTACTCCACTGGTTGGTTGAAGCTAAATCGCACTATGCTATATGCTGCCTATATAGGGTCACACATAGAGTGTCTGTCTTTTCTAGTTTTGATTTGATAGAGGTCTGTTTCTCTAATGCTAGGTCACTCACACGTCTTGTAATCGTATATCGACTCACTGGATTATATCTCTCCTCTGTCACTGATAAAAATTTCCTGAAGTTGGGGTGCTCAATTAAAGACAGGGGCAAATTGCATCCAATGACGAGGTCATTGACTATTGACTCAGTGATGATCCTCTGTCTAGGATGCCCCTGGTGGTATACTTGCACACCTCTTGTCTGAACCAAGAAAGACTCAATGCTGCTCTGTCCCTCCTCACTGGTCCCTTTCTTTGCTTTGCTGAATTCTGCATACCTGTAGATGAAGATGTAAATTAATTTACTTGGTTACTATCTAAAATATGGATGATAAAGCTAATAATATTGTTGTTTATATGAAATTACTACATGTGGAAGTACCTTTACAAAAAAAGCTGCTGTTATTTTATGTTAACTGCATTGCTGCAATATTTTTTAGACAATATTGCATTTTTGCAGTAGACTATGCTAGTTTGTACGGAGCCCGGGAGGGGTCATGTTAGTAAATATTTTTATTGCGTTCCCTCGCAATACCTTTTTGTGTTCCTTTTTGTGTACCTTCTTTTGTTTTTTTAATCTTTCTTTAACCATTATTATTATTATTATTATTATTATTATATTTGACTATATCTATCAGGATACACTATAAAGTTTTATAGAAAGTTATAAAATCCACAAAATCCACAAATCAGCAGCGGCTGAATCCTAAATGGCTCGGACACAGAGTGCACTGAGAATGCTGAAGAAGCGCATTACCTCTCACTCAA